TCAAGTGTTCACCAACAAAGATTCTTGGTTTGAAAGTCATTGCTACACTACTGCCAATGGACCTTTTTTGCCAGTGAAATTTCACTAATGTGAACAAGAACGATGGATGGATGGAAAATAGAAATAAGGTACTGTCTGATGTGCTGAGCCACATGAACATGAAAATACTAAAGGCAAAAAGATGGAGTCTATACTAAACATGGATGGGATGATTGTGGCCTTTGGACAATTGCAGACTCTAATTAAACGACTGGACTTCGAGGGTAAACAAGAGACATAAAAAGATGCAGTCTTGTGATTTAACAGCTTCATGGCCCTAAATTAAGACTTTTAATGTGCAAAAACAAAAAAAATGGTTTCATGTGAATCCTTATGGGTATAAAAAGAACAACTTCCTAAAATTACATGATCCTCCACTAGCCTGAATTTGTTCATCTGAAAGCTCTCCTTTACATAAAGGAGAGCCAGACCAATCCAATCTTATTCCATCTGGCTGAAACGTTATGGCACATCACACTCAATGTAGGGGATGTCACTGTACCGACTGTCGACCTCAGCCCATTGTTGTACTGCCCGGGCCACAATTTCCTCTGAGAGTCTCTGGGCATAGTCCAGCAGCACCGGATTGACCCGTCCTGGGTCCTCCACTGAGCCGATCTCTGAGAAAACTAGAACTGCTTTCTCTCCTTGCTTTCCTGGCTTGCCATCCACTTTCTCCGATGAGCTGGAGTTCTGAGTGGGGTCGCGGTGCTTGGATTTCATGCATCCCATGATATAAATAATGTAACATTGGTTTGAAAGCAGTGAGGGGAAGAGATGCAAAGATGGCGTGATACCAAAGTTATATTCCCTTGGTTGGGTTTCGTGATGTACGGATAAGAAGCTAGGACGAGGACGTATTTCTGTGCAAAGTGTAGTTGAGACACTCCAGATGGTCTGCCATGATGTATAGCATTCTCATGGCCACCTCACACTTGCCCTGTGTGAAGAAGAGGAATGGTTATTGTGAGTTATTGCTTGTCTTTGCGTGGCTAAATATATATTTTCATGATGACTATTTTCAGTGTCTTGGCAACCTTGTCCATGACACCATAATGACTACATCTTCACAGGAATGAGGATTTCCTTATGAGGCAGTATGAAGAAAAAATAACTGCACGTGCTTTAATTGGCTGAAGCCAGTAGTAGGCTATAAGTCAACTAGATATGGTATTTATTAGGGATGACAAGAACATGACATGCTCTGATAGTTCCATTTATATGTAGGTAGCCTACATAATGCTGTTCATTGTGGGTTTTCTATTTATATTCGTTTTTATCCCAGTTCAGATTCAGATTATAACATTTTAAAAGCTAAATATAATTTGTATTTACATGAAACAATATTCCAGATCTACTTCCTGAATTTTCTTTATTCTTTACGTGTAAATAAAATACTTTAAAAACCAACTCTTATGTATTTCTGCCCAATTTAAATCTGCTTTTAGCCTCATCAGTGTCATCGGTTCATTTGGTTCTCACAAAAGTATAGCCTACTCTTCTTCCATCAGCTCTGGGCTCACTCCGAATCGGATTCAGTGCGAATCGATGTCCTTTGGACTCGAGAACCGCTCGGACTGATTCAGTTCGATTTTCGAACGCATCGTTCACACTAATCATTCAAATGATCCGATTCAAAAGAACGATTCGGACGTCGCTATCAATATTTGTATCGTGCTGCCTCATGAAAATATATTCTCTTCGCCTGATACGCAAACCCATTGTATAGGTACATCATGCACAGCAGTCAAAGACACCCGACAGTCACTGTCTGGAAATCTGAAGTGATCAACAGTTTAATAACATCATGATAGATTATATCCTGGTTGCAATGCAATGTTATAGTCAGGAAGAACGAGATTAAAATTCCAGGTCTGTCGTTTTTCGAGTAAATTCCATCCTCGTATTTGTATCAAGAAAGCCTCAAGGTCAAGGCAAAATGTTATTCCTGATTGTATCAAATGCACGATGATCTGATTTTATAATGGAATGCTATAAGTGCAGATTCCAGCGATATAATCAGTGTGGGTACATACCTATTCGGACTGCAGACTGTGAGCGTCAATATTATGCATATAAAAATCGAAGGAATCATTTCATCCAAAGCGGAATGCGTTATTTAAATTGAAAACTGATCTAAATCCACAGTATTAACAGGCAGAAGCTTCCTCCTCCACACCAGTCTCGGTTAGGCTACTCCACAGGAGAATGAGAAAGCACGTTGATGAACTTGCTCTTGTAGGGTAAGTCGGGTCAGAATTCAGCATGTGCGTCCGGAGTCCACATATAATGATGATAACGTTTCAGTTTCATTCCAAAGACAGGACAGCGACGCGGCTCAACAGCGCATGCATTCTTGTTGTTTTTGCATTTCTCTCTGTCCATTCAAACATGGCCATCTATATGACTGAATTTGCAGCTTGCAAATTCTTCATGTTTCTATTCACGGGCACACATAGTTCATGCTATCCTTGCCTAAACATGTGTTTGTAAACTGGGTAAAATAGGTTACGGCAACACACGCAGACACAGGTTGCGCCTCAGTGTGTTTTTAAATACAATGTCGCCACCTAGTGGAAGGACTGTTTCCAATAATACTACAAACAAACATTTCTAACAGAGGGGTTCCCAAACTTTTTCATAATTGGACACCCTAGAGAGGTATAATCTATCACCCGCCAGACACATTTTATAGTGAAATATGAAACTACAAACAAACATTTCTAACAGAGGGGTTCCCAAACTTTTTCATAATTGGACACCCTAGACACCATGTGTCTCCCGCCAGACACATTTTATAGTGAAATATGAGGAAATAAACGCATTTGTTTTCTTGTCATACAGTATATGGAGTATTTTGTGTTAAAAAGGGGTCATTGATGCTTTTTTAAAGATCAGTATTTGGTGTAACAGAATATCTTGACATGCTTTAATGTTCAAAAAACACATTATTTTTCAAATACTGTACATTATTGTAGGTCCTCTATGCCCCGCCTCTCTCAAACGCTTCCTTTTCTACAAAGTCCCTCCTTCCGACAAGCGCAGTCTGCTCTGATTGGCCAGCTGACCCAGTGCATTGTGATTGGCCGAACATCGCAAGCACTCGTCGGAAATGTAACGCCCCTTACCATAATCGCGAGCTTCAGCTTTCAAAATAAATGTAAAGACAGAGCCCGAAAGGGGAACAGAGTCGCGTGACAGACACAGTGATGAAGCTGGTATGTTTTTGATGTGACTCTCTCGCTCTCGCTTTGCAACTTCAGGGATCTTATCTATGCACAATCAGCTTGTAACACTCCAAAGAGAAAGGAAAACTTGAAATCGCATCATATGACCCCTTGTTAACAAAAGTGTGATTCAATAGTTAATTTCGTGAAGGTTTTGACAGATTGGTAAATTGAGTTTTGAGTCATTATGCTTACCATAATTTTTTTTCCACAACCCACGGTGAAAACTGCTGTTAAAACAGGATTTACGAAGACTAGGAAATCGCGAAGTCGGGTTCGCTTGCGTAGTAACTATAGCAACAGCTTCCATTCTTAGACAGTCCGCTAGGCTTATTGTCATTAGCCCATTTAAGATTTTATTACAAATTTACATTTTATAAGTATACCACAATCCTATAACCAACGATTTTAGGAAGCGCAACGTTTAACTGTGCTAGGGGTGCCTTTTTAAAAACAAAATAACTGTTCACACTCTACGAGTTACGCTACATTGAAAACTATCAAACAAACACAATCATTTCAGGCTAGATCTTTATATATTGTGTTAGGCATTATCCTAAATCCATTAGAACTTAATCGATAAAGATTTCTGTTCCGCGCAGACATTCCGCTTCGATTCTTCCCTTTTTATCTTCACATTATTAAATTGAACCGAAGATATAAGTCATATTAAGTAAGGGATAATGCTGTCATCAGCTCATTATTGCAAAATGTTCCCATACTCCAAACAGAGTCTTGTGTGGCCATGAAAGTGTTTATTTTGCAGTAACGACCGGATGACTGCACATTATCCTGCTTATACGGCTACTTGCCAAATAAACAAATGGACATGAAATATTGATCTGTTGAAATTATATTATGTAAGAATGAAAATGCAGAGCAGTGCGAGGGAAATCGGTTGCCATCTACAACAGTCAGTTCTACATTTTAGCTATAATCAATTGGCCAATCAGAATTAAGTATTCCTACTAAAGGACCTATTTTCTCTCCATAATTCAACACAATTATAATTTCTAATGTATACTAGAAGTTGCATGTTATTTTGTTTATATTTTTTTTATTATATTTCCGCGTTTACTATCCTTATATCATTTTACTAATAAGTGTGCAAAAGTACAGATATTTGAATAAAAAGAGGTCAGGGATATACCTCACCTGCGTTACACAAGTTGTACCATAAGATGGCGCTACGTATCTTACCCACGGGTCAAAAAACTGAAGAAGCTGAGACTGTTCAACAAATAAGATGAATTGTGCTTATTCAATTTCTTACGTTTAAAACTTTACATACGTTGTGAAATTGAATTCCGTTGCATTGACAAAAGCTACGTGAATATTAGCCTATCCAAACACCTCTTTTTCAAAAACTACCACATACAAATAGGACATAGGGAAAACGAATGCCACAAAAGACAGGGCTTGAAATGACAGTTATTTTAGCAAGTTACTCACGATATAAATTAATAAATGAACCAACATTTCAAAGCTGCTAAAGCACCTTTTTACCTACGACGCTGCTCAAGTTGTGTAGAACATCAAGATGTACTGTTAAGATAAAAACAGAAATTCTGTTGATTATGAATTCATATGCATAAATGTCACATGTAGCCTTACATTATGGGTCAGATGCGTTTGGATAGTGAGTAGCCTAGATGCACGCACTGAAATGTTATAAGAAATATGCGTATTTTTCATATGCTTGTGCATAATTTGTATTCAAATTCGGCTAATTCCTTCACGAGCCCTCTAAGATGTGCCATGCCTCTTTAAGAACTGCGAAAGAAGTCCAGCTCTGTCCATTAGGTTTATTGTTGCCAGCTCAGCCAATCATTGAATCTTACGACACAATAGAGTGGCCAAAGTTGCAGTATAAAAAGCCTTGTCGAATTTAAGCATGACATCTACTTGTCCGGTGCGTGGTGAGGTTCATTTCCATAGCAAATCTGATCAAACATCCTTTAGCACGCTTTGGAACATGCATTTTACACAGGTTTTAATTTCTCTAAGTGTATTAATTGCATGCGGTTCAGTGGGTCATGGAGATATAACGGCGCACCAGCAGCCTTCCACAGCCACGGAGGAAAGCGAGCAGTGTTCCACATGTGAGTTCAGACAACACAGCAAGCTGATGAGACTGCATGCCATCAAGTCCCAAATTCTTAGCAAGCTCCGACTCAAACAGGCTCCAAATATTAGCCGGGACGTGGTCAAGCAGCTGTTACCCAAAGCACCGCCTTTGCAACAACTTCTGGATCAGTACGATGTTCTGGGGGATGACAGTAAGGATGGAGCTATGGAAGAGGACGATGAACATGCCACCACAGAGACCATCATGACCATGGCCGCAGAGCGTAAGGATCGTCTATTTCAAAGATTCGTTCAAGTAGATGTATCCTCTTAACAATGGACAAAAAATAGAGTAGATACTTGGAGAGACCATTTACGCAGTCTTTACGTCCAAGCCGTTTGCACTCATTGTTTGTGCTATTGTGCTAAGGCTATTGTGCATTGAATGCACAGTTAATGCAAAGATAATTCTCGATTTTTAAGGCTTTGCGTTGCTGCTTTATCAGCCTTGTTAACCGATTTTACGCACGCTGAACATGGAAGCGCAGCAAAGCGCTCCAGCGTCGCTCAGAAGAACATGTTTTCACCTTTACCACACGTGACATTTACAAACTGTAGTTGAAACTGGGTCATAAAAATGTGTATTATCTTATAGATATTATGTGTGTAGGCGATCCATTAGTTATTGCATGTATAAATGTTTCCATCCGCAATGCCGTTTGTATATAACATCATATATAGACATAAACAGTCGATCACATTTTTACATACAAATGTCTGCTTTATGTCTGTAATGTATTCTATTTTGTGGGCGTAGTCAACGTTTTTTCTTTAAAACTCCATTTTTTTATTTATATCAGTGCGCCACTTCATGACCTGCTGTAATAACAAAACTGTCACTGAAAACCAGCAGACCCCGTATGATCGCTATTTCTCTTCTTTTTTTCAGCTGACCCCATCGTTCAAGTAGATCGGAAACCGAAGTGTTGTTTTTTCTCCTTCAGTCCGAAGATCCAAGCGAACCGGATCGTAAGAGCGCAGCTCTGGGTTCATCTGAGACCGGCGGAAGAAGCGACCACCGTCTTCTTACAGATATCACGGCTGATGCCTGTTACGGACGGAGGAAGGCACATACGAATACGATCCCTGAAGATCGATGTGAACGCAGGAGTGACGTCTTGGCAGAGTATAGACGTAAAACAGGTGCTCACGGTGTGGTTAAGACAACCGGAGACCAACTGGGGCATGGAGATAAACGCGTATGACGCGAAGGGAAACGACTTGGCCGTCACCTCGGCTGAGCCTGGAGAGGATGGACTGGTGAGTTAACAAAAATGCGTTTTTCGTAAAATATAACCGCTTTTAGACAGAGCTTTGCCAACAGTAATTGTTGTGAATGACACTACTGAGAAATTATGTTGATGGTTTTATTTACAAAATACTTTGTTTTAAATAAATAATGACATCTCAAAAATGAGTGCCAGAAGCGAAAATGTCAAATGCATATTTCGTGCAAGTTAAGTGCATGTGTCTGAGCGCCCAACAACGCTACACATTACAGAATTTCGCTACATCTGTGTTGTCCCAAAAACATTCGTCGCGCGACCAGTATAGTCCGATTCGAGAACAAATGACTCTTTCGAACGGTTCTTTTTAGTGAATTAATCTGACTCATTGAATCTCCAGTTACTTTCGCCATATTTAACAAGAAACGAACTTAAAAGATGTGAACTCTCATGAAACTTAAATGAGATTCGCTTAAATTAGAAGTTGTGGTAGTCAGTGGTATAAAAATGAATTTAAAAAGTTAGTAAGTTTTTCTTCTTTGTTTTAGTATTTTTACTTAATATAAATACCATAAAATGTGTATGAAAAGTTATTAAAAAGGCAAAAATATGACATTTTTGTCTGTATGTTGGTTCTGCTGATATCAGAAATGATCTCATGATTTGCTGGTGCAGTAACTGCAATAAGAATTGAAAAATCGTTAATGGCACCAATAAGCAATGACTCATTATGTGGAATTGGAACCAGAATCATTAAATTTATTCCCTTCCCTAATCATATCTGTATTGGCTAGCTGTAGCATTCATTAATGGTTGGACAGAGCTACTTCACGGTCAGACCAGGAGTTGGCAAGCGTCGTCAGAAAGGAAAGTATCAACAGTAAACTGAAACACTGGCTCTTGGTTTCTTTCACTCCCAGCTCCCCTTCATGGAGGTGAAAATCTCGGAGGGCCCAAAGCGAATCCGGAGGGACTCTGGGCTGGACTGCGACGAGAATTCATCAGAGTCTCGATGCTGCAGGTACCCTCTCACTGTGGACTTCGAGGACTTCGGCTGGGACTGGATTATTGCTCCAAAACGCTATAAGGCGAATTACTGTTCGGGAGAATGCGACTACATGCACCTGCAGAAATATCCCCACACCCATCTGGTGAACAAGGCCAATCCGCGAGGCACCGCCGGGCCCTGCTGCACCCCCACCAAGATGTCTCCCATCAACATGCTTTACTTCAACGGCAAAGAGCAGATCATCTACGGCAAGATCCCCTCAATGGTAGTGGACCGCTGTGGCTGCTCGTGAACCAGTGCCCAGACAGGACTCGATCCGTCTCACAGACCCGGACATCTGATCACACCATCCACCATCCATTATCAGTGCTTTCCGCAAGACACTGTGCAATAGAAGGACGCTCACTCACTCTCTGGGCACCGCTTCATTTGACTATGTTTTTTGTCATTTTCCACTAAATCAGTATCTCTGCAACAGGAGTCCAATGTTACATGGATGTACTAAAGGAATGTCATATACTGGCTGGACTTGGGAATGGACACTTTTGAAATGGACGACATTCTCTGCTTTATTTCATGTTTTCACCTTGTCAAGAATACTCTCATTAGGATATGCAGACAACATTGTATTATGCAACCACTCCAAAATACAATCATTTAGATGTATTTAGCTGTAACAGCTGAGCTTGTTTAAGAAGAGTATCCAAGAGAAACAGAGAGGGACTCTTGAACATTGAACAGAGCTTGAATACAGTTATCCGACGCAAACTTCCACATACACTGCAATAAACACACCAATCGAATTGTTAATCATAGCTTTTGTCCACTACTCATCTGTCAAACAGCCCTACACACTTGAAGTATTATTGGGATCGGCATTAGGGGACAGAAGGACTTGAAGCAAAGGCACTGTGAATGCGGTCTACACATTGAAATGTTTTCGAGACAGAGACGTCGGAACTGTAAGAATGAATGTTAATATCACGCTAACACTCTGTCTTCAAACCACACAGTTTGCACTATGGCAGACCAATAGAAAGAATTGGTTGCTAAAAATGTTGTAAAAACTGATTTTGATATGTTTGCTAATTGTATTGTATACTTGCCATTGTTTCCATTAACAGTTGCCTTTTTTAACCACGGTTAGTACATGTATATGAACACGAAATAGCAAAAAAGTGTACAATATAAATCTATGTATCTGTTCAAACAAATAAAGGTGCTTGCTTTATATGTTCAACTCTGTTATTTCAAATCGCTTAAGAAAAAGGGTTCAAATGGAATATTTGAAACAAATCAAAAAAATCAAATCAAAAAAAGTTTTGAATATTTGGAAACATGCAGTTCTGTACTTCATTCAAGTAATGAAAACCATTTGATAAAATGGATTTAGGGTCAAACTGAGCCATATTGGATGTGGTCCGTGAGTTTAAAAGGGAAGTTGTTCCACGTCATGTCTTTTTCTAAGCAAAGGTGAATGCGGGGTATTGTCCAAACTGTGTTAAGAGGTTCCTTTTGGGTTGAATTTACTATCATTTGACCTTTTCATTTGTTTTTCCCGTAATGGCACCGAGCTGCGGTGTTACATATGCCCAAATTAACAAATCTCCCTTCTGAATAGTTCAGAGCGAGCATGCAGCAGAGTTTTCTAAAAGGACTTGTGCAGAAATGTTTTGACAGCATGGCTAATTAGACCAAGGCTTATTGGAGCCCTCACTTCCGTCCAGAAGAGGGCGAACTCAGCACTGCCGAGATCTGCTTCCTTTCCTGCTGTGAGTTGGATAGATGCCATGGAAACCAGGTGGGAACTGCTCTGAAATGAACAGAGGGTTGTGGGAGATTAAAAGTCCCTGAGCAATAACATTTCTTTCCCCGTTTGGGTTGAGATAATGTGCCATGGATTCGGTATCGTTTGCCACATACAATTACACGTGGGTTCTGAAAAGCCCAAACACCTCACATGAACACTCCTGAAACTATCGATAAGCGTTTTAACATCTGAATGCGCACCGATAATCAGGTGCATCCCTTCGTAATTCATCCCGTTCTACATTCAGGAGCGTTCGTGCTATGAATCACGCTCAGCAGAAGCATGATTGATTTGTTTTCTTGTGCATCTGACTTGCAGCACCGTTCTTTGTGCCAGGTAATGGCAAGTGTATGATAAACAGGAACAGTAATGGTTTCCCCTAGTTGTTATATCTGTCACACGGGAAACGTTTTCCTTGTCTCTGTGGCTTGCCGGTTGCCAGCACATTCCCAGGTTGACAGGAGAGGAAGTGACTGTGAGAAAATGGGAAGGCAGCGTGGCTCCTCGAGGGACAGGAGACTCTGGGGGGAAACACATAGCTCATCTCAGTCACCAGGATTCCCCATATCCGCATGAGCTGCAGGGGAGCCGGGTAGAGCTGCATGTGCTCAGACAGGAGGGATGTGCTCAGCACCGTGTACAAGGGGGAAGAGGGACAGCTGCCAGGTGTGGTCAAACATCTGCATCTTCACACTAACGTGCACAGTCTCTGGAACAGCTGGGGAAACGCTTGCTTTTGAGTGATGAGTTGAAGGTACATGCTGCCATGAGGCATCAGGTCGAATATTGATGGCCAGGTTGCAGACAGGTGACAGGTGACGCATGTTGTGCTGTTGTCATCTCACCTGGTCTGTTGCTGCAGTAAACATGAGCTTTTCTATTACCCGTCTGCCAATATTTCACCTTAAGATGACAGATTCAGGTTTTGAACAAGAGAAAGTATTCTGAATTATTTAGAGATTATTCACTCTAAATATTCTAAAGTGCATTTGATTATAAATATGGACAAATAAAAAAAAATTGTTTTATATATAATTGAAGTTCTTTATCCTCGCCCAGTATACATGCCCTGCTGATATTATGTGGCTTAACCACAAAAAAAGAATAAAAAAAAAAGAATCTAAAAATTATTATTAAAGTTTGGGGGGAGTAAATGTTTTATTAAATTTTTTCAAAGAAATTAATGCTTTTATTTATCAAGGGTACATTAAATTAATCAAAATTAACAGGAAAGACATTTATAATTTTGCAAAAGATTTTTATTTAAAATAAATGCTGTTCTTTTGGAAAAATGATTTCTGAAGGATCATGTGACACTGACGACTGGAGTAATCTCAGCTGAAATAAATTACATTTTTACAATTACGTTTAATTTTTGACTACGTTTGATCAAATAAATGCAGCCTTGTTGAGCACAAGACAAAAACACAACTTTTGAAAGGTACTGTAATGTGGCTGGAAAATCAAAGCATACAGTGATTTGTTTATCATTTAAAGAAGCATTAAAACTGATGCTTCTTGAAATTTTGACGAACCTTCATCTAAACCTACTTTACTATGGTATCATATTTAAACCATCTGAATTTGCATTATCAGTCTTCAATAGACTACATCACAGAAAACCAAATGTTTAGGTTTGAATAAAAAACAAGCAAATAATCATTAAATATAATACTCAGTGACAATTAATTTCCATACACTGGCCCAAATCTCTCTGACATCTCTCAGAGCCAAGCTTATTGTTGAGCTCTGCACTGATCTCTTCTAATTCAGTCAACAATCCACTTAACAGGCACAACCCAAAGTACTTTTAATTTAATGATTAATCTAACATTTCGAAATGCAATAATCACCTCAGTTTCCAAGGGACGTGCGATTCAGTTGCACTGAACTTGTGCTCTCATCTGAAGAAAGCAATGAAAAGCAATAAAAGACATGAGGCTCTGGCAGATGGGCGCAGATGTGCAGCCACTGACGGCTGGTTGTCAGCGCCCCTGATGGATTTATCCAGTGCATCCACACTGGGCCCTGCCTTCAACACCACTTGTTTTTTCACTTAACTGAGAAATCGACATCCGTCTCTCCCGAAACTCTATTGACCCTTGTGGAATCAACATTTGATTAATTACATCGTAAAGCTTCCGGACGTCGAGGACGGGAATGTGTCCTGTTTTAGCAATGTGTAACTCAAGATCACATTTGGGCTGGAATGAGTCATTCAGCAAGTTTTGTCCATAAGTCTAAGTTCATTTACAAGGCACCCTAATGACTGAAGTGGAAAAGGTCTGTGGCAGTAAACCATATGCCCCCAGGAGACCAATGACTGACAGTGATGGAGGATAGATGCTCCTCTGAGGAGACTGCGAGATGTCTGGATCATTTGGAAAAATGGAAACATGTCCCCTCCTGTGTCATCACAACGCCTGTCAGACAGCTGGATATGCAGGAATCTGAGGTGTCTTGTCATATGGAGAAGCAGTTTTGCTTTGTTTTGCAATCAAGGCAATAAGGTTTGTATCAAGAGTTGTTCAAATAAAATATTGCCCGTTGGAAAATTGTCTGTAATTTCTTATACAGAAATCAACTATTTAAAATCTATCTATCTATCTATCTATCTATCTATTAATATTCTAAATATTTCTATCTATCTATCTATCTATCTATCTATCTATCTATCTATCTATCTATCTATCTATCTATCTATCTATCTATCTATCTATCTATCTATCTATCTATCTATCTCATCTGATTTCTATCTATTAGTGTCATTATACATGTCAATCAAATATTGTTCATATAAAAAGGGATCTATCTATCTGTTTCATCTGATTTCTATCAATCACTGTCATTCAATATGCACAGGTAACCCTAACAATCATCCAGAACACCTTAAAAAAACTGACCAGCAGCATGCTAGCAATCACTTAGTAAGCATGAGCCTACCTTGTTCTTGTGGACTCTTCACAACCTTTTTGACAGTTAGATCTGTAAGACACAAAACAGACTATGATTTGCAAAACTGAAACTGTTGATAACACCAACTATACAGTTCAGATAGTGAATAAGCAAATGTAACCCCCATTCTTGCACATAGAGTACATCTAATGCTTAAATCTAAGTCTCTCTAAGGACAACATGAAAACCAGTCGGTCATTATAAAGTGGATGCTGCCAAGTACCACAAGCCTCATAGCGAGAGCATTAAAGTGGACAGTATGCAATCCACCAACGTAAGGCAGCAGCAAGACTGCACATTTAAAAGAGTGCATCACCTATTGAGATCACCATATGGTGACACACTTGGTAGTAGTTAAGAATACAGTAAAATGGGTCATTATAACTCCATATAGAGCTACGTTTAATATTAAAAAGGCTAAACAAATGGGGATTTCAGCTCTCAAGCAGAATGATAATATCTGCCCAGGCCTCATGGACATCTGTCTTCTGAGCCACAATGTTTCTTAACCTTCAACCCCTGTTGCAGAGGCACTGGAATGGCACTTGGCACGCTCTCTGACCACAATGTGCAGTCCATCTCATGCCAGACCCTCCTACAGTACTCTCCTTTTACCAGTGCCAGCTGCTCGCTCTTTAATTAATGAATGCCATTTGATGGCTAATTGTATATATTATGAATTTACAGCACGTTTTGCTGATTTGCACTTTGAATGTATCAGAAACATTTGGTTGAAAGGATAAAAATGGCATCTAAATGAACAGTTAAAAGCTGTGAAAAAATGATGACTGAATTCAACACATTAATACAGTGGGATTAATTATGTATTTTTAAAAATAATACAAAAAGGGGATATTCCTACCATAATCAGAGCAGCTTCAGCTGCAACTACAGGCAAACTGTCTACGTTAGTGTGTGAATTATTTTAGTCTTGTAGCGCACCTACCTCAACAGTCAGCTTTCTTGAAGACTTTGTAAGTGAAAAAAAAAACATTTCTTGTGATGTACAAAATTATAAAAACATGGTAAAAATGACAGTACTTTGAGTTTGTCGATGTAACAACTCAAAGTAGACCTAGTGCGCAAATGCTCTTATGGTTTACACCAGGGGTGCCCAAACTCGGTCCTGGAGGGCCGGTGTCCTGCAGAGTTTAGCTCCAGCTTGCCTCTCTTGAAGAAATCATATGTATACGCATGTATAGCCATAGATAGATAGATAGATAAATATTCAATTGCATATTGCATATAGATATTCAAATGTTTATTTGCTTAATATGCATAAAATGTAGTTGGATAATTCAATATTTTAATGAGTAACTGCACTCAGATTTACATCTTGTTCTTTCAATTTATGATTTCTACTGAGAAATAAGTATGTATTTAAGTATTCTTTTTATGGCTAATGCCCACTTAATTTAGCTAATTTGACGTTATATTACAGTGCTACAGTCTC